AAGTTTTCGTAAGCCAATAAATCACTAAAGAACATAAAGTCAGAAGCAATCCAAGTTACAAGCAAGCTCATGACGAACAAACAAAGTTAACGCAACGGTTGTACGGATTTTGAGAACAAGGAAACCCGTTCTACCATCTGAAAACGAAATGGGAACAAGCCACGAGAAAGTGATGAGCATTAATCAAGTGACTATTTTTCGTGAGATAGCTAAAGTTTTCACAAAACTAGTAGCCTGCGTGCAGCTATTTCACACACCAATTTCTGCACATGACCGTAACTGATACATAACGTAGCAAGTAAGCAAGCCAATAATCCAGTTTCGAATTCTGCAATGCTCTGCGTTAGCCTCATTTGTGCGAAAAATATTCCTAATTGTAAGAATAAAAGTGTGAGATTTCAAATCAATTCCATGGTCTTTCTTTTCAAATTCCATGCGTTTTCTCGGGCTATCAATGAACAAAAGAATATGTTGCTTGGTTTTGAGGCTAACACAGAGCAAACCAGAACTCGATATCGGAGTATTACGTTTTTATAACATAAAGTATACCAAAGGCCTTGGAGTATTACGTAAACATCACGTATGCGCAAGGCTATTATGCATTCTGACTTCGTGTTCCCGGGCAAAGTTACGTCGAATAAACGACTTATCACAGAATCKACAGACAAACCGCTTTTCTCCCAGGTGAATCCTCTCGTGGKTCTTGAGATTTCCAGCTTGGGCAAAACTCTTTTCACAGAAYCTACATTTATGAGGTTTTAGCCCTTTATGAATGAACTCATGYTCTCTCAAATGAMYACGTTGATGAAATGATTTATTACAGAACGAGCATTCAAATTTTCGGGAGGGRTTCAGWTCATCTTTGGCATCACTTGCAGGGGTGGTGTGTGAAGCCCATTTTGCCTCTACATGAATGAGTTCGTGTTCCTTTAGACGTTGAGGCGAAATAAAAGTCTCTTTGCAGGTACYGCATTCAATGCCTTGAGTAGGTTTGTCTTCCTTTTGTCGGTTTGCTTCTCTGGMTTTTTTGGACTTACAGAAGTATAAGTGCCTTTTGAGGTTGGCGAGCTTGTCGAACTCTCTTGGACAGAATTCACACTTATGAATGGCATCCGAGTTAGTTGGTRCATTTTCAATTACAAAGGACGCTATTTGACGCTCGTTTGTGCTTGCTCCAATTTCGCTAGTTTTGCTCTCTCGTTGTTGTACTTCTTTACTGTCGATTTTAGAGGATTCTTCGGMACTTGGTGGAGGTGGAGGGTTTTGGATGGAAAAAGAGGTCTTATCGACTTTTGAATTGTCATCGCTGCTAATTACTTTCCCAATTTCGAAAAAGTTTTCATGACTAGCTGTGGTCTTTGTTAAGAAACTAGATGCATTTTCCTCTTGTAAATATTCTTGGTGGTTAACGACATTCTCAAATTTGATCTGTTCAGCAACTTCTGAAGAATTTTCATCCTTAGCACCAGAATCAGCATCATTCCCGAGGAAATGACTCTCTTGATTTGAAGAGCTGCTTCGAACACAAACGCGCTTTCCGCTAAACAGCTCTCCACGTACAGAACTATTTGTATAACAGGGAACTTTCAAATCTTCCAAGGATGAATTGTCTTCTACACTTATTAATCCACTGTGATCAAGTGCTTTGCGCTTTGAAGGCTGTTGTTCATCTTCATGCAATTTCTCGTGATTTTTCAAAGTAAACGCGCTCAAAAATGGCTTCTGACACCATCGACATTTGAACAGACTCGTCCCTGCATGGCTTCGTTCGTGCTCTTTCAGGTGCACTAACTGTTTATAGGTACTATCACAAAAGGAACATTTATAAGGCCTTTTACCCAAATGSCCATTCWCATGATTTGTTAGATGACTCTTYTGTACAAAAGTTTTGTCACAYCGGGTACATTTAAACGRCCTGTTCCCAGTGTGTATACGCTCATGTTCATTGACATGACTTCGTTGTTTAAATGTTTTTGGACAGWACTTGCAGTTATAGGGTTTGTCATTACCCAAATGTGTTGCTTCATGATCTTTCAACTCCACGTGACTAGRAAGGGATATTGAACAGTACATACATGTGAAACGTTTGTGAGACTTCACATGCTCTTCAAATTTCTTTAAAACTTTAAAGGTGATGTTGCAGTCTTTGCACTGATAAGTCTTCTTCTTTCTACTTTTTTGTTTACACTTATGGCTTTCAAACTCGTCTAAACGATTAAACTTTGCGCTGCAAACTGTACAAACCAAAGAACACGTCTTWCGACCACTATGGTTCAGTTCTTCGTGCCTTTTACAATCTCTTGATCGTGTAAAAGTCCTCTCACACACACCACATTTGTACGGTTTGACGCCCGAGTGAGAGCTCTCGTGGATTCTGAACTGGTTAAAATGGATAAAGTCTTTATCACAAAACGGGCACTCRTAAAGCCTGTGTTTTGAATGCGACCGTAGGTGGACCATAAGATAAGGTCGCCTTTTGAATGTCTTCATACATAAGGGACATTCGAGAGATGTAGAAGAGCTTATATGATCCTTTAAATGGATRTTGTATTCTTTGTTTGTCGAGTACGTGAAGTCACAAAGTTCGCAGAATTGTTTCTTGCTAGTATCGATGCATTTGTGCCTTTCGTACATGTCAAAATAACGGAATGACTCGCCGCATGTTGTGCACAACAGCCCACGTTGTACTGCAAATAAATGAATAAATAACTGGTGAAGAAACGAAGAATACTGTGTGACTACAATTTGAATGACTTGATGGACAAGAGAAAAGAAAAAATGGATGAATGAATAAATGATTGAGCGACTAAATGAATGGATCAACAAATGAAAAAGTTAATTACTGAATGAATAAAAGTATTATTAATAAGACATATCTAGTTTTCTTCACTGCTTTCTCTGATCTGAATTGGGCTTCCTTTAGRGAAAGGCACAGGTAGCCCTTAACARGATCTGACTAACAACATGCATTTTTCATATATCAACTCTCACACCTTTGTTAGAAACTTCCTCATCTACAACCAAGTTATCATYRCAGCTGGATTCTTCAGAATCACTGTAATCTTGATCCTCAATTCCTTTAGAACTAGAAGTGCCACTAAAACCCCCACAACTTTCTCTAAATTCAGGACCAACAACTGGAAAATTACCAGACACAMAAGAKTGCTCTTCTAATTCTTCCTGGCTGTTTGTAATTCTAGGTTTGATTTCATCGTCAGTAGTAGCAATGACTTGCTGTCTWACTTCCCCTGTTTTTGGACAAACAACTATTACAGATGGTCTGYGCTGAGGCTGTGTCACAACTGCTGAGCAATTTGCGGAACTTGAGTTGGTATCATAAGAGTGTTGACCTAAAGCCAATGGTGTGGTWGAYGTCTCTAGTGGTGTTTCTAAGTAAGCTCCATCCATTGCTTTATCATTGTAATGGTTTGTATAACAGGAGTTGCTTTGTAAMTCAMCACCTTGAGTGGCAGAAGTSTCTGTTGCTGTTACAAAGGAAGTTCGTTGTGTTGCATTATAACAGTGTTGGTTWAGATGAGAAGGGTGCTGSTGTAAAGACGCTAGTGTTGACAYTGCATCTRTTTCTAAGGAATTCTCCTTTGTTGMATGATAAAATYSTTCATTCTGTASAGTGGAATCATRCTTTTTCTCTGARTATGTAYTTCTAAATTKTCTGCTTGGTTTTTCATGTGTTTTCAGTTCCCCTGTGTTTGAGCAGACAGCTATGACATTCTGATCCAAGTTAACAATAGCATGACAGCTGTCAATCAGGGTATTACTAAATGTTGCGTCAGTGTCCATGTTATAGATCTGTTCCATTGTGATAGATTCTCAGACTACATTTTTGTCGTACCTTGAAGCAAATAAAACAATGTGAAATATTCGATTTGATGTTCGCTTCCAGATATTTTGAATACAAATGAAATTATAAATACACTTTATAACCTTAAATCGAAGAGTAAAAAWTCCAATTTGTAACACGAAAATCTATTTATCAAGCAATCAAAATAATTTTTCATCACAAGATAACATTAATTTAATTAAAGAGCATCTTAAAGTAGGAAAAATTTGATATCCTGTTAAAATACTGACCTCTGAACTCTTCAAAGGGCCAGCTTGTTCAAGACTCCATTTTGTTTTTGAGACTACTGTAGAAACATATCGCGGGCTCGTCTATATGAGCATTTAGCATGCGCAGTTATACCAAGTTTATTTAAAGGGACACTKTCAATGGATGTCATGCGCAGTAACAGTGTCACCTCTAACGGACTTTGAAAGTATTACCTTCGAGGTAAATCATTTTGTGGTGCTTTTGACACACTTTGGAATATTCTAGATCTGTTTACGTTTTACGAGCTGATTTATGTCGCGCCAACTTGGAGTCATAAACTTGAAAACACTAGCCTAGTGTTTTCAAGTTTACTCGCGCATGCGTGCCATTGACAGTGTCCCTTTAAGGATGATGTATAAACGCTATCTGAAAAAAATTAAAGACTCCGAAAGCAAAAAATCCTGCCCAAAAAGTTTTTCCGTTGCCTCTCAGTGCCCCATCAAATTAGACACTTAATTTACTTATAATAAATATAGACTTATTCACGACATTAATGACGACTTACATGGTTAATAATTGATTATTTCAAATATACGCGAGTAAAATTTCACAAAGTCAAAGACTTCGTGATTGGAGTAACTTATTCCACTGGTCTTGAAAAGCGACGCGGTCCAGTTTCTGTCAGTTATATTTTTAATTCCTAAGCCGTATTAGATTTCCCATCTGTTTTCTCATKGCTACCACTTACTAAATGGTATAACTGCATATATATCTATACATATACATGCATAATCTTGGGTCATTGAGCAGGTGTTTTGAAAAACTGCATCATCGCGAATTCAATGCAACCATTAAATTCAATACCCTGAAAACTAATGAAGAAAATATGCGACTATAAGCTTGTCAGCAGTCACAGGCCTATCCTTGAAAGGAATAATGTCTCCTAGACTCGATCCTAGACCGTGGATATCTTTGAAAAGGAACTCTTTCAACTGTAAGTACCGTTTTTGACTCATCTTTTGGGAAAATTTGTGAGTTGTTTTAGTAATTAAGCAATTTTCCAATTCAAAATTTCGAAATCGTATATTTTTATTTTTATCGATTTACTATCTTTTTATCGCTCCAAACTATTAACTAATGAAAATATGAAATCTTTTGTCTTTGAAATTGAAATCAAA